AGATATTTTACTCACTTTTGGGACCGGGCACACCATCCTCATGGTGCGCCGGTCGTAGGGTATAATTTGCCACCTAAATGAGATTACTGTCAGTCTGTCATAGGCTCATAGCACATAAGAAATATTATTTTTATTGTATTATCTCTATAATATTTTATAATATTAACAGTATATATTATCATTATATTGCTATATTGTTCAACATTATCATTATATTGCTATTTTACTCTAATACTACGTATTAGTATAATATGCTTATTATTGTTCTTAGTATTCAAATAATTACACATACCTGACGATACATTATGTATTATTAATTTTTTATTAATTTTAATTTTATTATTAAACTACTTTTTCAGTTCTAACTTTTGTGTAATTGGTAAATTTTTTACTCCTTATCGATTAGATTCAGGACTTGACATATCTTTTTTGTTGAAAATGAGAAAAGTGTGATGTTTTTAAATAACATTACTTAATATTAAATTTAAATATTTAAAATAGCTCTAGGAAAACTAAAATAAAGGACAAAAAATCAAAGCGCATTTTCACGCCTAAACTCCGCCTAAGCCCGCCTAGGCTCCAAAGGCTTAAGGCTTGACCGTGTCGCCTCAGCATGCCTTACGCCTTTTAGAACATTGTGTGTATGGGGTTAATTGGGTTGAGAAAAAGCTGGCTAGTCCTACTTAAGACTAGTCGTGACATATCAAAAAAATGTAAAACGATGCCAAACAATGTGAAAACAGTGTACTCTGCAGTAAATTTTACCTTTTGATAAATTTATTTCCTTAATATGTGTGAAATCAGAGGCGGCTTGAGCATTTTGGAGGACCCAGACGAAAAATATTTACTATGTAAAATCACTTTTAAAATCAGATAAATTGAATAAAAATCGCCTTATGAAAAAAAGCATATTCAAAGTCCACGATATAATGTTTGTAATATTCAAAAGGATAAATTTTAAAATGCAAACTTATTCAAAACACAAGGCAAACTTGTACTTGTAAAAGTATTAAGAGACTTCAAGAACGAGGCTCAGAGAGAAGAGGTGAAGAGTCTTAGTTGATTCACTAACCAAGGACCCATGTCGACGGCGGGCAGTGAGGCATATATACAGTAGCCGATTAGCGGTCTGTGTTGGATGTTGATGCGTGTTGAGATCGGCTTTTGATAGTTTTTCCTAACTTTAAGGTGTCATAAGTCTCAATTTTAAGTTCAAGTCATATTTACCGGCCGTTGGTTCGAGTTTTGGTATTTTTGGAGTCAAAATCAGGGAATTTGAGCCTTACACCACCGGTGTTTGAGAAGCAATATGAACGAGTTGAGAAGCATTTTAGAGTTGATTAGGAGCATTGGATATCAGTGATGTGTTAAATACAAAGTTTTGAAGACAAAAGAGCTCTAGAATTGGCTACGAGATCAAAAGAAGACGAATAGAGCTTGAAAACAACGATCGGGATGACGTTCTGTCAATCGTTCAAGCATATCTTTTCTTAGGAACATCCAAAAAACATGATTGAAGTTTCATATGAAAGCCAACTTCAAGGGCTACAAATCATATGAACACACCATTGTGAGAATCTGAGAGAAGCAAAGTGAAAACAGACGATGAAGTCAGATAATCTCTGTTGAGATTTCAGAATGCGACTTTCCACCATTTTATTCATATATTTTTATTGGATGATTCAAATCCAGTTTTGCAAGTTTTGTTGGATAGAAGACTTCATTAGCTACAACTTTGATGAAGGACGGATAGTCAAAAGTGAACTATAAAGCTGATTTTTGCTTGCAGTTGCCGCTTGGTGTATTGGCGATCTACGAATAACACCTAATACTAATATTGGAGTAGAATTTTTTGGAGGCCCCCTTGGTAGTTGAGGCTCAAGGCAGTTGTCTGGCCCCACTGCCCTCAAAGCCGCCCCTGTGTGAAATCAAAGTGTGACATTCATTTAGAAACGAAGGGACAACATGTTGTCGTTTTATGACTGCTTTAAATTTTCGTTTTAATTTATATAAGCAAGTCAAACTAATTTTCCCAATTAGTTGATTATTAAGAGCCCATGACAACACTGAAATTATCCGAATTTGTTAGAATTGATGAAATTTTGAGTGAATTTGCTTGATTATGAAAAAAATAAAATAAAGGCAAAAATGTATGAAAAACAACAAAAGTGATCTATAATCGCTTGACTCAATTCACAACCTTATTTATTTTAATCAATACACAATTAGTTAATAAGATTTATAAGTTGAAAATGAGGTAATTAGTCAATAAGAAAAGCTCTCTTTGACCGTTAACTCCACCTCGGCCTATTTGCCAGTACAGTAAAGATCTCTTGCGGTTATGCAATTGAGTTGATGAAACCAAGATTTTACACGACCAGCATTCCTCATATAACCGTTACATGGAAATTATTAACCGCTTTTTTATTTACTCCTCCGTTGTGATCTACAAATAAAGCAGTTGTAACCATTCTATCCCACTCTTCCATGCATATTTCCACTTCAAAAACAAATAACTACTCTCATCTATCTACGTACATATACTTCCCAGATCGATACCAGACCACTTCCTTCCTCTGTGTTAATTAGTTCTCCATTTCACACTACTACCTACTCACAAATGAAACTCAAAATGGTTCGTTTAAGCAACCCGATCATCGCAACGCTCAACGTTCTGACCCTCGTCGTCTCCATTGTGGCAGTGGCGTTTTCGATATGGCTGCACGTGAAGACGGGATCCACTCCATGCACGAGGAGCCTCCAAGGGCCTCTCCTCATGCTAGGTGTCTCCCTCTTTGTGGTGTCGCTGCTCGGGCTGGTCGGTTCCCGTTGGCATATATCTTACTTGTTGTGGGTATACCTGGCTCTCTTGTTCCTCATCATCCTAGGCATGTTGTGTTTCACGGTCTTCACCATTGTGGTGACTAACAAGAATGTGGGCAAGGCTTTGTCTGGGAAGGGGTATAATGAGGTCAGGCTTGGAGATTACTCTCACTGGTTGAGGAAGTACGTGGTGAATGCTAAGAATTGGGGCAGGATTAAGAGCTGTTTGGTTGATATAAACTTTTGTCAGAATCTCAAGGATGATGATGGCCTCGACTTTTACAAAAATAGTGTCTTTGCCACACAGGTCCTTATTTCATTACTCCCCTACTACGTTTTTTCGCTTACAAGTTCCACTTTTGGTCCATCAAGGCATCGACTATAGATCAGGCCATTCTCATTTTTAAAATTTATGTTGCATAACAATGTTCTTTTCCATTTGTCTCCACTTTTCCCGCAAAAACCGACCGTAAAGACATTGACTGTTTAAGTGGTCTAAAAGAATCTGAGTACTTTATTAAAAAATATTCGTAAGACCAAAAGTGAAATAACGGAACGTTAAGATGAGAATGGGAATGAGAGTCATGGCACCAAAGGTGAAAACAGAGAAAGGCATGTGTTTTTTGTTTTTCTTTCTGCAATTTTGGCAACTCATACTGATCTGTAGTTCTGTACATTACATTTCTACAAAGAATAATAGATTTTCTACTGTGAAAATAGAAAAGTGGCTTACATTCTCTGTCCATTATTATGACTAGTGTTCCTTTTTGTTTTCAAAATGAATGGATAGTGGGGTTGCTGCAAGCCTCCGCCAGACTGTGGGTTCAAATCTCTCAACGAAACGTATCAGGCAAAGCCGAGAAGGGGAGAAGCAGCGGACAATCCAGACTGCAAGAAGTGGAGCAATGTTCAGACGCAGAAGTGCTTCTACTGTGAATCTTGCAAGAAGGCTGTGCTGTATAATATCCAGAAAGAGTGGAAGAAACTGGCGATCATCAACGCCACCATCCTCGGCATTGTCATCATCATCTACTCTGTTGGCTGCTGTGCACTGAGGAGCAACAGAAAAAAAGAAAACCAGACAACAGCATAGGGGCATCCATATCACCCAACAGTTGTTGATGGTTGATTTTCTAAGTTATTTGTTTCTTTAGTAGTGCTAGTCCACTTTTATTAGTACTTATATGTTCTAGTATTACTATATTTTGTGAACTGCTGCTTATGACATGCTTTCTAGGTCTACTGTCTAGTTTGTGATTGTGTGGCAATGCATGTTTTCTAGGTTTACTACTTTCTGATGATTGTTCAGTTAAATTGACAAAGTGGTTAAAGTAGTAGGGGATGCAAAGTATCAATTGGATTCTATGTTTGTTAATCAATATAAAGGCCTCTTGCAACACATTTACATCAAGTGTATAAGACAAATGAACTACTTTCTTGTTATATTTTTTGCAAACATCACTACTGGCCAAATTAAGAAGCTTATCACAATTAAGCACAATATTGGTATACTATTTGGATCGATTAATCTGGAATTGAACACGTTCTTTTTTTAGAGTAACAGTTTCTTTTCCCAATAAGCATTATCCTTGCTTCTTTAATAGCTTTTGTTCGGACTACTACAAAGGGAAAAACCAAAAGTTCATGTCCATCTTCTCGAATAGCTGTATTTTTGCCTTGTAATTAAGTAAAGGATCAAGTCAGACTGAACCCGACCCCCCCAGGGGACCAGAACCGGATTTATGATTCGAGTTACTGTCTGTTCCAACTTTCTGGGAGGGAGGATATGCAAGTCTATAAACCCCACAGAGTTCCATCAATCTTAGGTTTTCGTCTAGAATTTTTGAGAAGAAATTACAAGGAAAATTGAATCATTACATATTGTGCAAGCCCAAAATTTTAGTAATGTTACAACTGATACCTTGTTCAATTCCACACAATTCAAGACTTTTTGGAACCAGACATCCCCACACTTACCAAATTCTGGACCAACATTCCAGTACGATTTTGTGCCGAAAAACCAGATGTCCCTAATGCCTTGAGAATCTAACACCAAGATCACGTACACCCCTATTGTGCTCATCCTTAAATCTATTCTTTTAGGATGAAACTCTTGAATTTTAAAATGACATTAGAATAAATCAAACTCAATCAACCAAAGTCTTGAACAAAAACGTGAACTTCAAGATTGATTTGTTCAAATGAGACATCATTTTGCGAGATCATGTTAAATCATCCCACATCAATGCATTAAAACACAACGAACTTATTCCTTCCATATCTTGGACCATCTCTATTACCCTATTGACTTCAAGTCTTAATGCCTTCAATACATGAGTAATCACTGTACAAGGTATGTTTTATTTGGATTTTCACAACAATCACAGAATACAGCACAGACCATCTAGGCGGCAAAGTCCAACTTATTGGTGTATTATTTATGATAAGTTACACAATAACATGAATGCACATGTCTTCATCATTAGACTGGGCAGCCTAAAGTTTCGATTCCTGAGAGAACTGCTGCCTTAGTAGCCTTCTCATGACTTTATTTGTTGCTGTTCTTGGGAGAGAAGGGACAGATACCACTTTTGAAACCTGAAAACACATTCATGTCAATGGGATCAAACCAAGGGTTCAAAACCTTTTGCAGAGGATGCTAATTTTACCTTGAACAAGGGATTCAACTTCTTCTGCAGAGCCAAGTTGAAATAATTTTTCAGGGAGTTCAAGTCAACTTCCTTTGGGCCATTAGAATCTTTTAATACAACAGCAACCACTAGCATATCTGGTCCACCCCCACGAGGTGGGACTGCAATAGCTGCTGTCTCGAGGATATTAGTATCGTCTATGGTTTTGCACACATCCTCAATCTCAACTGAACCCACCTGGTAAACGCCGAAAAATTCCCAAGCGATCACAATAGAGAGAAGTAAAACAAAAATGACACAAAAGAAATAATGACTTGGACTATAGGGAGTGGAGAGTCATTCTTTTTCAAGACTTCACAGTTAGTGTTATTTCATTCTAGGGAGAGTAACATTAATGTTCTTATGAGACTTAGGGGTTCCACCCTAAAAGGTCAATTTACAGGAGTAGTCGAAGAACTTATATGCGAGATTGAATTTTCTTAGGGTAAATGACTTTAAATGCCCCTCTAGTGATTCGTTGGAGTAGATTAATTTTGGAAGTCCTTATGCTTGTTGTTGAAGTTTTAGTAGATCTAATTGGCAGTTCGGGCTTAATTGGTCCAATACCATATTAAGAGGAAGAGTTGATTTGGGAACTTATTTTTCTTGATTTGGATACAACGATATATACGGATTTATGCAGAGGTTTACTTTAATAGTAAGGTGATTACAATTAATGGAACCGTTAAACACGGCAAGTTGTACAAGTAAGAAAATATATAAACATGGTACGTATACTTCGTAAATCGTAATATCAAATACTGTAATACATGCAGACCTTGATACCACCCAAATTCATGGTATCATCGACACGACCATGAGCGTGATAATAACCTCTAGAAGTACGCTCAAATACATCTCCATGCCTTCTTAGAACCTATTTAACCAAACAAAAATGGGGGGGGGGGGGGAGGGGGGGACCCAGCACATTAGAAAATTTAGAAATTGATAAGTAACTGAAGAATCCAAGAAGAAAGTAGTAGTTTATTAATGAAAATTTAGTGAAGGAATACAGAAAGTCACGAAAGGAAAGGTTTGAGACTCTTCGAGTGGTCTCTCACTCCCAATATCCCAGTCCTGATCCCAAGTTATCCCCCCCCCCCCCCCTCTTATTCTACTCCACTCCTATTTATAATAAAATTCCCTAATGGGCCGGCCCAAGCTAACCGTACCTAGCCCAAAACCCTTATTTATACAATATCACACCCCTTAGTATAAATCTACTATTATTATTATTGGAAGTCCATGTCCCTATCAGAAATACTGGAATATTATATTGTGTGAGTAATTTTCTTACCTGTCCATTCCAAGCAGGCATTCCTTTGAAGTAGACCTCATAGTGGTCTGCATTCAATAGTGAGTTTGATGCCCCAAACATGTATGGACCAAGGGCTAATTCACCGATCCCAGGAACACTTGATGGCTTAAATTGAAATAATTAATTATGTTTTAAATATGGACAATAAATATATAGAAAAAGCTACATATTTCGTGGAACTTTGAAACAGGGGCAGAGGGAGGAGCTAGGAGCACTGAACACTCGGTGCTCCAGCGACTGAAGTTTTATTGTTTATCTAATTAGTCATCATCATCATTTCATTTTCATTAACCCCAGTGCCGCAAAGGCTCCCACCTACGGTGGGGTAAGGGGGGGTCGGATGTACGCAGTCTTACCCCTGTACTAAAGCACAGAGAGACTGTTTCCGGATGACCCATAGTGAAAATCACGTCCAAAATTGCATGGACTGACGGCTGCTTCATGACAAAGAAGCGCAGACAGCTTAGTGAGCCATTTTGCTTTATTCCATCATAATCTCAAGCCAAAAAATAATGAATCTTTGGCTCCATTGCAAATGATGGAAAATGTTTATCTAATTAGTAGACCACTAAATTAGTAGGCAACCTCCCACACATAAGTTTTGATTTTTTAATGATATAAATATTATGTTAAGAAAATCAAGATAAGGCCCAGCACAAGTCACTCAACTATCCTAACAATAGAAACCTTAAGAAGTACACATACTAATTTATCAACAATCAGTAGTCAGTACAATCTTCTATCCTTCATTTATTGTGTGACATTTTCAGTTTTGGTCATAAACTTTCCATTTGAAAACTTCTTGTCTCTGTCACTCCTTTGCACTAAATATGCAAAAAACTCTGAGGTCTTTACGCTATCATATACTACTAAGCATTTAAGGTTTTGGTGAGGCAGTTGTAAAATTCAAATGGTCAAGAAAAGAAGAAGATGAAACTATAATGAAATACCATAGGACGTCCATCTTCACCGAGAACAAAGAGTCTACAGCCGAGACAAGCTGTACTAAAAGAAGATATAGATTGTGGCTGCAAAAGCGAGCCAGAAATAAATGCACCCCCAATTTCTGTACCACCACAAATCTCTATGACAGGCTTATATTTGGCTCTCCCCATAAGCCACAGGTACTCATCCCTATTAGACGCCTCGCCCGTTGATGAAAAACAACTGTATAATATGATCCAAATTAATACATTATGCTCAATAGTCAGCAGCATTGTTTTCTTCATCAGAAACCAAACTACTACATAGCAAGAATTTATAGGCAAAAAGAAAAACGAAAGAAAACCAACAACTAAAACGCAGGCATGTGACTTGTAGGTCAAAAGACATTCTCGAGATAGCATTAACTTACCGGATGGAGGACCAATCATAACCGGCAGTACAATTTGTTGCTTTCCATGCCCTTACAATACTTGGTATAACTCCAAGCACAGTTACTTTAGCATCCTAAAAAAGGTAGATGAAGAGTTTGGACTTTAGAAAGATAGAATTCAGAATTTAGATGGGCTACTCAATTGAACCATGAAACAATTGGGTCTAACAGCACTAAAAATTGAATCCGAGTTCTTAACTATTTCTACTAAATGTCTTGTTATTTGTTAACCCATCTTTCTTTCTTTTTAATAAGTTTCCGATGTGGGATCTTAACAGACACTATTTATATCTGCAATGAATTGATACCTTGAAGGAAAAATTGCTAGATATGTTGAGGATTCAAACCTTATAATTAAAGTTTATGACAAGTTTTCACTATGTCGAATATGAATCAAGATGTCCGAAACGATAAGACTCAACTATCATATGAATTGACCAAGGGTAGATAAAGAAGGGTGGGATCACCTGAATGAACTTGGCAAAGCTAGAACCAAGGGGAGATCCATTATATAGGGCCATAGATGCCCCATTCAGAAGGGAGGTATAAATTAGCATAGGTCCCATCATCCACCCAAGATTTGTGGGCCATGCTAGTATATCACCTTTGTGAATACTGATGACGGACCATCCATCAGCAGCAGCTTTTAAAGGCGTAGCAATGGTCCATGGAATTGCCTTTGGATCTCCTGGAATGAAACTGGCCAGTGAGTAAAATGTGAGACTTCTCTCACCTGCAGCATCAAAATGACAGAACAATAGGGGCCATGAGTTTTTCTTACAAAGTACCTGTTGTGCCAGAGGAGAAAAGAATGTTTGTGAAGGCTTCAATGGGTTGTTCGATGCCAATATACTCAACTTCTCTGCATTTAACATGAGAGAGATGATGAACAAGCATATGCACTACACCAGACCATTTCTTGGCAAGAGAGAGAAAGAGAGAGCTGATATTGGGGTCTCTCAACTGGGCCAAGCGCACTAAAAGATTGAATCCAATTATGGGCTAATTCAACACAAATCTTAAATTTTTTTATTTTCAATCTATAATTTTTCAATGCAGCAATTATAATATTAATCGGTTGGTCACTTGCAAACTAGACTCTGTTAGAGATGGACATTTAGACAGATAACTTGTATAGAGACTCACGAGCCGCTAGGGATGGACTTCCCATCAGACAGCCGAACAAGCATCATGAGCCCAAATCGGCTCTGGTAACATGATAAAGCTTAGGGTTAGGTTAGGTCACTCAACTGGAGTCATAAGGCACTTGGTCACACCACACTAAAAGATTGAACCTAATCTGTTAGCTAGTTCAATCAAGGTCTTATTATCCCATCATTCTACCACTAATTTTCTGATGTCAGAGCAGAACTTGACAAGATCTACCAACTAAGACACATATAGTATCATGTGCTTCTACATTGAGGAATCCTGAGAAGAAATGGTCTTACTTCAAGTTTTCCACTCGTTCTAAAAACTCATGCCAAGAAATGTCACCATCACGCAATGTCAAAGTAGAACCTCTACTGGGAATTACAACTGCTCTTGGTGATCGAGCATCAATTACTTTGCTGCAGTTTTAACATAAAAGTTAGGTAAAACATGGCAAATACGTAGTAATTAATAGGAAGCAAAAAATGAGAAATCAGCAATACCTGTATAGAGGGAGCCATCTACCACCCCGAAAAAAAGAATCCTGGAAGTGTAATTATAAAAGCAACATGTGCAGCTAAAGACTACATCAAACCATATATAGATCTTACTCAAAGATTGGAAGGGCCCAAAAAGGCAAAAACGCAAATGAAACAAACCTGGGTGAAAATTGCTTCCGCTTTTGATACTTTGAGCCTTGTTAATATCTCTTTTGGTGTAAAACTATCAGCAATAGACACGACTACATAGCCAGCAAGTACAATAGCCAAGTAGATTACAACTGAATTATGATGCATTGGCATATCTATTGCAATTGCAGATCCTTTCTCCAGGCCTAATGTGTCAAGGGCGTATGCTACGGTCCTATCAAGAAAGCATTCACTTAATGAAACAAAGGTACTAAACCAGAGAGAAGTTATACCATTTAGAATATACGCATACCAAACTGCATATCTCAATTCCTTAAGAGTCAAACTTTTAACAGGTGCTTCATCCTCCCCTTCATCCCGGTATATAATAACTGTATCATTCAAATTCCTGTTTCCTTTAAGCATCAAACAATTTTTTGCAGGATTCAGATAAGCTCCAGGAAGCCATTGACCACCCGGTTGACTTGGAGTCTCCCGCAAAATACATTGAGGGGGAACAGAGAAAGAAACGTTAATTTCTTCTAGTGCTGTTTTCCAGAAGGTCTGATGAATAACAACATAAAATCACCTGAGACATTGTACTGCTAAAAATTATAAGAAATGGGTTACCAATACACTTACAGGTAAAACAGTTATCAACGAACCTCAAGGTTCGACACTGAAAATTCCTGAAAATCAGAATAACTAGATATGGGGTCTTTATACTTTGATCCCAAGAACTCTTTTCCACGCCTCTCCAATAACTTCCCAATGTTGGTTAGTTTAGCACTTCCCCTGCATTTCCAATTTTCGTTTTTTAGTTTAATGGGGTGTTTGCCAATTTTTATTTCAAGAGCTAGTTAAAAGAGATGAGTAGTAAACGTTGAAACCCGACACTTTCAGCTTCAAGCCATTCTTACCCCCTCCTATTTGAGGGTATTTCTGCATATTCAGATATGCAATCGATAAAATAGAAATACGAGAATTCAAAAAAAAAAAGATGATTAACTGACGGGTCAGGTGTCCAGGCTGGCGGGTCGGGTCCGAAGTCTCTGAAGCAACCATAGTACATCATCTGATGGAGCAAAAAGGGTTGGTCTGGGGTAAGCAGGTCCCGGGAGATGCGCAACCATGTTTGGGGAGTGGCAGCTCCGTAAATACTCACAATTCCGGCTAGCTTCTCGTGGAGCTGGCGGGAAAGCTCGGATGATAGTCCGAGAGCTTCGATATCAGAGACGTTAATCTCGTCCAATCCTTTGTATGTCTGAGGATCAGCCATTTTTTTCCTGCAATGCTATACGTACACGTCAGGTAGTTATAGAGGCCTTTTGTCAACCTCATATTTTAGGCTTACGAAGCTTATTGACTATTTTTACATATAATTTTTTCTTTATTTTATTAATGAAATATAGTTTAAAAATATTTTTTTTCTTGTATGACCAGAATCAGCCAATACAGCCACTTCGACCGAAACTTCATAAATTTCAGCAGAATCAATCAAAAGTGCCGATTTTCGTGCTACAAAACGAGTTCGTAACGTTGGACTACTTTGGAGGAGAGATGAGTATTTTGTGTGTGGAGTTAGGTAGGCGTATTGTTTTGGTTCCATTCGGTCCAAATGAGTGAGTCACAAAAATTATTATATAAAAATTACGGAGTATTATATAATTTTTTTTGTAACGTAAAGAGTAATATCCTAAATGAAAGTGAAGAAACTGTTCAACACAGTGATACTATGACTGTGCAATTTTATATAAATAATATGCACTACCCTATAACTCAAAAATTGGGACAACAGAGAACGACATAGGTGTTATGAAAAATAAAATTATATAATTGATATTAAATAAGTAAAGTGTGAATACAGTAAAAATGAATTACAACCACACGAATATTAACAAATATGGTATGAGTTTAATTTTGTGGGATAAACAAAAAGAAAAATGAGACAAAGATAGTGAAACACCGAAACGGAGAGTAAAACAGGTTTTAGAAATAATTTTAATAAAATAACTTGAAGGAGTATATGGCCCGGGAACCCCCGGCCCACAGACTCCTACTACTCCAGCGAAGGCCCAACAGACCCAGAAGGCCCAACAGGCCCAAATCACAGCGCCCAAAGTACCAGCCAGTCCGCACTACGCGCCAGGGGTGCCTTCGGCCCCCTGGCCGAAGGCTCCAAATTCTCACAGAACGGGTTTCTCAAGCAAACTACGAAACTGGGAGAAAACGGCGAAAACAGTAGCCCTCGGCACTGTGAGCCCTCGGCACCAAGGTGCCATTGGGTGGAAGAGCCCTCGGCTACTGCTCTATAGCCGAAGGCATCTCACTCGACAAGATATCCGCCTCACATGCGTACAGATCACCGTACCCCGCACAGACGTCCCGTCCAACAGCCGCATTAAATGCGGCCACATGCGGCTGCCAGCGCCAACCAGTTGAGGTGACCCCTCGGCCAATGAGCGCTTGACACGTGTCCCTGCCCGGCATTTATTGCTACTATAAATAGCACCCCATTTCCCTATTTGTAACCACGCTGAAAACGGCATTCATACTGAATACACTCTCTCTCTACTTTTACTTACTTGCTCTGACTTCTTTCTAAGTTATTCCCCGCAATAACCCTTCGGATATATACCCCCGGGTAGACTATCCATCATTTGGTGCTCTCGTTGAGAGGTTGAACAATCGAGTAAGAAACCCTCCCCCTCGACCAAACACAAAACACTAGCCCTCTATCAAAATGGTGAGGACAACACGTGCCAACTCAAAGAACGTAGAAGACAAGAACCTGCCCCTCGGCGACGTCAACGCCCCCGAAGCCTCTCACAGGGCTCCCGAGGGCGGTGTCATCGCTGGGCTGGAACGGGCGGCTGTCGACCTACGCCTTCAGATCCAACAAAATGCCCCCGATGCCCGCCTCGGCATCGAGGCCAAGAAGAAAAACCGGAGCGATGACAAGTCAGCCCTCCGGTTCTCACCATCGACGTGCAATCGGCGCTCTCCGCCTTCATCCAGACGCTCACCCAGAACCCGGGTGCCTTCGGCACCCTGGCTCCAGCTCACCCTCAGATCGGGGAAAATATCATACTTCCCCCTCTGCCACACCCCTTCGGAAATCCCGCCCCTCGGGTGAGAAACGACGAAGGGGTGGTGGCCCAAGAAACATCCTCCCAGGAAGTTCAGTCCCGGGACCGCCATAATGACAACAGGGAAAGGCCCCATACTTCCGCCCTCAACCGGCTCGGAGGAGGGCCAGACCGCCGAGGGGTCCAAGACCGCCTCGGGGGGAAAGCACTCCAAAGGCCCCAGGAAAGCGGGGGATCTGTTTCGAGGGCAGACGAGGAGCGTCCCCCTCGGGACAAAGGCAAGGCACCCCTTCATGCCGATGATGCTCGGCACCAAATCAACCGGGCCCACTCGGCCCGGGTTCGTTCGCAGGGGGCGGAGACCCTCCCGAAGGATCCCCGGGACGAGATTATTGCGGCCCTCCAACGCCGGCTTGACGAGATGGAGTCCAACAAAGCTCACGCCACCACCTCCACCCCTCACTCAGATCTCAAATACGAGGCCATGATGGCCAAAATGGAGGAGTTACAGAAGAGGGTGGCCGAGGGCTCCGGGGAACCCGTCATCCAGCTCCGGACTCGGACGCCATTTACCCCAAGGGTATTGGCGGCCCGGATCCCGGAAAAATACCGAGGGCAACACATACAGCCCTACAACGGAAAAACGGACCTCCAGGAACATTACAGCAAGTACCAGAACAGCATGATGATGGTAGGGGCGTCGGATGAATATTTGTGTCGTTGGTTCCTCTCCACCTTAGAGGGGCCGGCATACGAATGGTTCAACACGCTGCCCGAGGGCTGTATTGATTCATGGCAAGAACTCGCCCAGCGGTTCTTGACACAGTTTGCCGGGAGGCGTCGCACAAGGAAGCACTTCTCCCACCTCCTAACAATACGCCAGAAGAAGGATGAGACCCTTCGGGATTTCCTGGAGCGCTGGAGGACGGAGGCCGACAAGGTCGACGGTGCTGATGACGGGACCCTCCTGGTCCTCCTACAAACCGTCCTCCGCACCGGTAACTTTTCAAGGAGCCTCATCATTGAACCCCCCCCGCGACTACATAAGGGCTTTGCAGCGGGGGGACCGATATGCTGAGGCCGAGGAGGTGGAGAAGTATCACCAGCATCCGGACCAGCAGCCCCCGAGGGCTGACAACAATCATAACCGAGGGCCAGGGGCTCCTCCAAATCGCCCCAAGGCTTCGAGACCCTCTGATGACCGCCCTCGGCAAGGCCAAGCCAAGCCCGGGGGAGGTTATAAGAGCAACCCTAAGACTTGGGCCCAGCCCATTCTCCTGGACCGCCCTCGGACGCCATTGACGCACCCCGTCAGCATCATCCTCGATTTTGCCGAGGAGAGGGGCCTCATTGAGCGCGACTCTCGCGCACCCCCGGAGGTACACGCTATCAACCCTCAGTTCCCCTACTGTCGCTTCCATCGGCACCAGGGGCACAGGACCGATGACTGCCATCAGCTGAAGACGGCCATCGAGAGATTAATACAGGCGGGGCACCTGTCCCAGTTTGTCCAGAGCCCTCGGCAGGAGGGACCTTCTCATCAGGGACCTCCCCGAGGGCACCATGCGAAGGTAAATGCCTGGGTAAATCCGAACACCATCCCCCTCAGCAAGAAGAGGGAGATCGGAAACTTGGAAGAAGAGGAGGGGGAGTACCCCCACTACCAGGAGAAGAAACGCCACATCCTCATGATCACCGGTGGCAATACAGGGGGCGATTCCACCAGCCAGCGAAAGAAGTGGGCTCAATCGCTTTACGTGGGGGAAGTCACTCATATGCCCCCGGTAAAGCGACTGAGGGAGGAACCCATCACCTTCACCAACGCAGATCTCCCCCCCCCCCCCCCCCCCCCCGCTTCTTCTCCTCACAGGGATGCCTTGGTGATTCGGACGGAGATAAACGACACCATCATTCACCGAACTTACGTTGACACGGGCAGCTCCGTCAATGTAATGTACCTCAGCACCTTCAGAGAGCTGCATCTGGAGAGGGGGTCCCTTCGGCCCATTAAGACCCCTCTTGCCGGCTTCACCGGCGACACTATTGATTCCGAGGGGGTAATAACCCTCCCGGTGATCTTCGGCGACGGGCTCCATAGAGCTCAGCTCGAGGTGGAGTTCGTCGTCGTCAACATTGACTGCGCCCACAACATCATCCTCGGCCGGCCAGCCTTCGAGGACCTCGAAGCCATCATCTCCATGAGGCACCTCTGCCTCAAGTTTCCCGCCGAGGGGGGCATTGGCTACTCCCGGGGGAACCAAAAAATTGCCCGCGCCTGCTATCTTCAGGTCACTAAGAAGGTAAGCAAGACGGAATTCCGTGTTGACACCATCACCGGAGCCGTCGACCAAGAGGAAAGAAGGCTGAGGGCTGAACCGGCCGAGGACGTAGAAGACTTTGCGCTCGATCCGGCCCAGCCGGAGAGAGTCGTGAAGATTGGAGCCCAGCTCCCTGAAGATTTGAAGACCGGTATCACCGACGCCCTCCGCGCCTACTCCACTGTCTTTGCATGGGGGCCGGAGGACATGCCGGGAATTAGCCGAAGGGTCATCACCCACCGCCTCTCGATGGACCCCTCGGCAAAAGCGGTGCAACAACGAAGAAGACCCCTCTCCGCTGAGAGGAGGGAATTTGTGAAGAAGGAGGTCGCCATGCTCCTCTCCATTAAGCACATCAAGGAGGTGAAATATCCCTCATGGCTGGCGAATGTAGTCCTCGCACAGAAGCCCCCTACCTTCCGCATGTGCGTGGACTACACTGATCTCAACAAAGCGTGCCCTATGGATCCATTCCCTCTACCAAACATTGATCAATTGGTGGATGAGACCGCAGGGTGTGAGATCATGTCCTTCCTCGATGCCTTCCGAGGGTATCACCAAATTTTTATGCACGAGGAAGACGCCGAAAAAACTGCCTTCATGACTCCCGAGGGCATCTTCTGCTACCCAGTGATGGCCTTCGGCCTAAAGAACTCGGGGGCCACTTACACCCGGATGGTGGCCCGGGTCTTTCAAGCCGTCCTAGGGCGCACCATGGAGGCCTATGTTGACGACATGATCGTCAAGAGCAAACAATCTTCCAGCCATGCTGACGACCTCCGGGAAATCTTCGCCATCATGCAAAAATTCAACCTTCGGCTAAACCCGAAGAAGTGCACCTTCGGCGTCCAAGGGGGCAAATTCTTGGGCTACATGGTG